GCTATTTCAGCGTTGTCAAATGCAATCATATGTGAGTAAATTAATTTATAATAGATGTAATAAGTGTTTGTTTTGTTAATCCAACAGTAGGTACCTCAATTAATCACCTATTGACCATGCTAAAAGGATCCGGTGGTAATTGCTTTAGGCTCCAGTGAGCACGCTTGCCGGACACCTGTGGGCTTGTCGTCCGGTCCCCCTCCCCACTAATTACAGGCCCCCTGTGGCAATACGCCTATCGTGCAACTGACCAGTGGGGTCATTGCTGGACTTGGGTCAGCCGTGTGATTTAATCAGTGTCAATTTCTTGTGTAAAAAGACCACCTTCAGTACAAATAACAAGGTGCTACGGTTCACAGTCTAAGGTGATACGGGTCAATTAAGCTGATACGGCAGGGATGATTTCAAAATGAAGCTGATACGGAGCCGTATCAGCTTAATGGCCTGGGGAGAACCCTGACTTTAGCTGTTGTGACGACAGAGGCTTAACCCAAAACAAAACAAATGCATTGTTGAATTTGCTGATTCTATATACAGGTATATCGTTATGTCAGAGTAGGTACTTGATAGCAAATATTCACTGTCATGTTCAATTGAAAATTTGCAGATGCAGAAAATCGGAAAAATATAACTGCTGGACAAATAGCACTATAAATACCTGTGGGCGTCGTCCCTAGCTTGGGAGGCGTTGTCCTCAGTGTAGGACCCTAGTAAATCTATCATCACCTTGGTAGCATTTTCACTGCAATGCAAACACATTTTATCAATATCAAGAGAAACTCACTCAAACACATTTTATAAACATCAGGAGGAACTCAAACACATGGTCATACAACTGTCGATCTATATTAGTATGTTGCAGAATAACTGATGACTACACCAAACAGTGGGACTGGTTGCTTTTGTGAACATTACATAGCTTTAAATGGGAAGAATGTAAAACAGTTATATGGAATAGCAGAATTTCATTCCAGTTGTAATTGATTGTCAATGAGAAAATTATCCTCGATATATATCCAGGCGTTACGCTCACTTTCGCTCTCTGCACCCCTGGAATATGTCATAGCAAAACTGAAGGCACTCGGCCTAGCTATTTGATTGGAGTTGGGTTAAAAACCCTGACCAATCACTAGGTTGATACCTGTCCTTTAGAGATTACTGAGGAGCGATGCCCAACTTCAAAGTGAGATTATTTTTATGTACATCAAAGGGTCAAACTAGTCTTCTCGTTTCGTCTACAAAGTGGTTCATACTGAGCCTTCAATTTTGCTATGACATATTCCAGGGGTGCAGAGAGCAAATATGAGCGTAACCACTGGATTATCGAAATGTGCAAAAATGTACAGTATAATACATGTAGAAGGCATAAGAAGTGATACAAATGAGGCCTGCACATATGATTAATGCATATATGTACATGATAAAATTTGAAAAGAAAATTTACTGATTGCTCTAGCAACACCATAATTTCAATAAGTACAAATTGTCATTGTGTAATTATATTTTACTAGTGTCAGAAACCATATATTTTGCTTTTGAAAATACTCTTGAGACTAGCCCTACTTAAAACTCACTAGCTCCTGGCATCAGCCAAGAGAACTGTTTCTGATGCCAATTGTAGTTGATTTAAATAGGAATTATTCTATTTTAATATCCATGGTTATAGTTTGAGAAATCATAGGCCGTTGCAAACAATATGAAACCAGATTTAGTGAAAACCAGATTTGAGGCAGTCAATTGATAAAACTGAAATCAAAGTGTCACTGGATTATTTAGTGTCTAACATCAGCAGAGTTGGACACCTTGGTCACCAGTTCTTAATATTGCACCACTGATTTTTCTCAAAAGCCAAATGTAATGCCCAAGAGAATTTTTCATGATGCTGCATCATGTACAATCATGACCAAAAATGATCTGTCCTACTTTCACTTTCTATTTTCATTTAAATTTGTAAAATGAATGCTTTAGTAAGTTCACTTTAATTTAAAGTCTGTAAGAGCATCATGTAGATTTCTTAGCAGATTCTGTAAATTCTTTTGGCTAATTTAATGATAGTTTAAGGTTCTTATATACCGCTTTATCACAACCTAGTTCGTAGGGTGTCTCAAAGCGATTCACAAATTATTATCCGTGGTTAAAGGGGCTTCCGCAAACAGCCAATATCTTTCTCAACTCTCTTGGGAGCATACAGACAGTGCTGCTGTTTTGGCGCTCACAGCTAGCATTCAACAATTCTAGCACTACGCATGCCCAACCATGTACTCATCTACGCTGAGTAGACTGGAACAAGCGAAGTAAAGTATCTTGCTCAAAGATACAACACAGTGCTGTGACGTGAACCTGCAACCCTTCGGCCAAGAGCACGGTGCCCTACCACTAGACTACCATGCGTCCAATACCAACAGTCGATCTAGGTCATTATGTTACACATCATTGACTACACCAAGCATCTACCGGTGGGACAGGTCACTTTTTTAACATTATATAGCTTTGAATGGGAAGAATATGAAACTGTTATACATATGGAATGGCAGAATTCCATACCAGTTGTAATTAATTGTCACTGTGGAAATATGTATAATACATGTACAAGGCGTAAGAAGTGATATAAATGAGGCCTACACATATGCTGATTAACGCATGTACATGATAAAATTTGAAAAAAAATATTTACTGATTCCTCTAGCAACACCATAATTTCAAGGAGTACAGATTGTCATTGTGTAATTATGTTTTGCTAGTGTCAGAATGCATATATTTGGCTTTTGAAAATACTCACTAGCCCTACTTAAAATTCACTAGCCCCTGGCATCAGCCAAGAGACCTGTACACCCCGGAAATAAGATTCTGATGTCAATTGTAGTTGATCTAAATAGGAATTATGCTATTTTAATATCCATGGTTATAGTTTGAGAAATCTTAGGCTGTTGCAAACAACATAAACCAGATTTGAGGCAGTCAATTGATAAAACTGAAATCAAAGTGTCACTGGATTATTTAGTGTCTAACATCAGCAGAGTTTGACACCTTGGTCACCAGTTCTTAATATTGCACCACTGGTTTTCTCAAAAGCCAAATGTAATGCCCAAGAGAATTTTTCATGATGCTGCATCATGTACAATCATGACCAAAAATGATCTGTCCTACTTTCGCTTTCTATTTTCATTTAAATTTGTAAAATGTATGCTTTAGTAAGTTCACCTTAATTTAGAGTCTGTAAGAGCATCATGTAGATTTCTTAGCAGATTCTGTAAATTCTTTCGACTAATTTAATGATAGTTTAAGGTTCTTATATACCGCTTTATCACAACCTAGTTCGTAGGTTGTCTCAAAGCGATTCACAAATTATTATCCGTGGTTAAAGGGGCTTCCGCAAACAGCCAATATCTTTCTCAACTCTCTTGGGAGCATACAGACAGTGCTGCTGTTTTGGCGCTCACAGCTAGCATTCAACAATTCTAGCACTACGCATGCCCAACCATGTACTCATCTACGCTGAGTAGACTGGAACAAGCGAAGTAAAGTATCTTGCTCAAAGATACAACACAGTGCTGTGACGTGAACCTGCAACCCTTCGGTCAAGAACCCGACACCCTACCACTAGACTACCATGCCTCCAATACCAACAGTCGATCTAGGTCATTATGTTACACATCATTGACTACACCAAGCATCTACCGGTGGGACAGGTCACTTTTTTAACATTATATAGCTTTGAATGGGAAGAATATGAAACTGTTATACATATGGAATGGCAGAATTCCATACCAGTTGTAATTAATTGTCACTGTGCAAATATTTATAGTACATGTACAAGGCGTAAGAAGTGATCAATACAAATGAGGCCTACACATATGCTGATTAACGCATGTACATGATAAAATTTGAATAAAACATTTACTGATTGCTCTAGCAACACCATAATTTCAAGGAGTACAGATTGTCATTGTGTAATTATGTTTTGCTAGTGTCAGAATCCATATATTTGGCTTTTGAAAAAACTCACTAGCCCTACTTAAAATTCACTAGCTTCTGGCATCAGCCAAGAGAACAGTACACCCCTGAAATGAGATTCTGATGCCAATTGTAGTTCATCTAAATAGGAATTACGCTATTTTAATATCCATGGTTATAGTTTGAGAAATCTTAGGCCGTTGCAAACAATATAAACCAGATTTGAGGCAGTCTATTGATAAAACTGAAATCAAAGTGTCACTGGATTATTTAGTGTCTAACATCAGCATCAGCAGAGTTGGACACCTTGGTCACCAGTTCTTAATATTGCACCACTGATTTTTCTCAAAAGCCAAATGTAATGCCCAAGAGAATTTTTCATGATGCTGCATCATGTACAATCATAACCAAAAATGATGTGTCCTACTTTCACTTTCTATTTTCATTTATATTTGTAAAATGAGTATGCTTTAGTAAGTTCACCTTAATTTAGAGTCTATAAGAGCATCGTGTAGATTTCTTAGCAGATTCTGTAATTTCTTTGGGCTAATGTCCCACATAGAAGTCCATTTCTTCACCTGAAAATATCACAAATATCATACATGTAGTGATTCAACCATTCCTCCAAACTTGCTTCAACTAACTTTACTTTTCCAAACAATATTATTTTAAACCATCATTGATTTTTCGTCTTCTTTTAGTCCTTAAATATTGTATTGTAATTAAAAAATGTACAACATTGTTTTCTTGTCCTATGACTTTAGATAATTATTTTTAATTTACATTCACACCGTTTTGTTATATTTTTTCCTGAGGCCTCAGTCATTCTAGACCCCGCTATCCAATTATTAATGATGATTGGCTATGTTCTGCATCCCAACATACAACATAGCAAGTTATTTTCTAACTGATGGTTTGTTTACTTTTGGGTTATAACATGACTGTGTGGATATTAGTAAGTACGGATAAATATTATCTGCAATGTAAACTGCAATACAGCCATCTATAATGGTATCATCATTAGCAAATCCATCGAGGTGTAGAGCCAACGCCGTATATCTAGTATAGGTTCTGTAGGTCTGTTATCCCTTGCTTGGATACCAAGTATGCAGGGCGATTGAGGAGTAGGGAAAACTAAAAGTAATATTCAATCGCAACAAGCTTGGGATAGGTTATTTGCAAACATTTAAGTGAAACCAATTGACAACTAATTACCCGTTCAGAAGCAAAATATTACTCCTGGAATTAGTTCAATGAGCTGAACGCCCTGTTTACCTTGTCTAAGTCGGTGTCCACCATTTGTATGAGGTCTGATTGATGAGCTAGTTTGACCATGGCTACATAAACATCGGCTCGAAGCACTGACTTCTCATCAATACCATAAAACAAGTTGGACAACCTACAATAAGGAATTTTATCAAAATGTCATTTGATGATGTAAACTTACCAGAACAAAGTCAATAATATTGAACAGAAAATTAAATGTATGTTCAGTGTTCTCCGCAGGCAGTTTTTGCAGCATGGCACCATGCTCCTAAAATTCTTGCCATGCTGCTATCCTAGATCTTCTCTGCTATGTATATATTCATAGTAAATCTTAAGTTACCATGCTGCTTTGATTTTACATAGAGTGCTTCTTTAACAGAAATATTAAAATACCATGCTTCTTTCAAAACATTCTTGGGAGAACACTGATGTTTGTAGAATGTACATGTATATCAGTCTAAAGAAATGGATATAAATGCAAAGTCTAACCAAAGTCCACTTTCTGACTGTTGGACTTTTAGTACAGAATATTGGAGCTAAACACAATATCTTACAATAACATTTAGTATGAGAACTGATGCAAATGCTGAAATACCCAAACACTATGTGGCTTGGGACATTAAGAAAATGTGTCAGTATGCATGAAAAGGTAAGTATAGTTTCTGTTATCTGCTTCACAGGGTGAATTTATCCATTACCAGTGTCGCCATTGGCAAAAATAAGAAAACGTTTGGCAAATTTTGTAAACTTGCATTGGCGAAAGTAATAATTTGTCAAAACATGCAGGTATCTGGTACCTAGTATTGCCAGCTATTAAGTCCAACCTAGCTTAATTGTACGTGTATACATGCCATAAAGATTCTACTACCTGTTAGCAATATACAGGAGGGACCAGAACATGGGGTGCCAAAGCTAAACTCTGAGCCCTCTTGTAATTCATTTGTCGGTCAATTGAAAATAATTTGTGATCACGTTAGGGAAAATTCTCCAATTAAACAAACACTTATGTCTGCTGTGAACACTGAAGTTGATTTAAAATCTTAGAGAGAAACTTGTCAAAAAGTTCAAAATATTATGGACAGTGAAAGAAAGAAGCAATATGGCTTTAAGCTAGACAATTTGAAAAATAAAACAAAACTTTAACTTTATAATTTTGTTCTCCTATTTAATACCAGGCAGCAAAATGAGAAAAGTTGGACAACCTCCAAGCAATAATCTACTGGGACCTTTAAAATTTACTTCAGCCAATTAGGGTGGAGTAACATAATCTGCATATGAGTTGTCATGTAAATAGCCGACAGCATGCCTTACACTTTGATTCTGTTCTGTGATCTTTTGTCTGTTTTCTGCTGTTTGCCAACTTTTTCACAGAACATGGTGATTGGTTCAGCCATCTCCTCTGGTGGCATGGCCAGGATCAGGGATATGATGCTGTTGAATATCATCTCAAGATCTGTTCAGCAAAATACAACAAATAATAAAACACACAACACTGACTGAAGCAGTCATCAAGCACATTTGTTATAGAGGCTTTTTAGTGAATTCAACATCTGAACTCAAACCGTTTTTCAACTTTTAGATTACCAGATACCATAACCTCACAAATCTCTATTAATCTTACAACTCTTGTTAACTTATATGAAAATGCAATATTCTATCAAAAATGGACAGTGACACTGCTAGAGCCAAGAAACAAGAGCCACTGGAGAATAGTGTGGTGCAGTGCACTAATTCATGATATACTTCAGTTCAAATAGACATATCCTTTAGGACCGAATGATAAAGCCCATTTCAGGTAATCAAAAACATTCTCCAGGTTCTACTGAAAGCCCTCAATACTCTCATAATACATAGGGACACTATAGCTACATATCAATATAAAAACTCACCTGCTTCATTGTTGATTTCTGTCCAGCACACACTTGTTGCTTCTATGATATTTTTAAGATCTGAGTGGATTCCATCTTCCGAGGGTTCCTCCGATATAGAAGCACCGAAGGATTTCAGGAATATCCGCAGCTCCTGAGCCTACAAAATAATAAAACAGGAATACATATATCATACAAAGACACACAATTCTATTGCTATGACATAGTACACTTGCAAGCAGAATATACACATGCCAGAAACCTCTGATAGTGACATCATGTGATGCACATGGTAAATTATCCGCTTCACATTTAAAATCATCCAAGTTCAGCAAAACTTGTTGAGTTTAATTAAGTGATTTTTAGAACCTTGATATTGGAGTCCTAGACTTAGGCTTTCCCTTGCACACACATTAAATTTTTCTCTTAATAATGGTTGTACCCATCAAAAATAAAACAAAATATTAAGGTATCGTAAGACAAAAATTCTACACAATTCACTGTAACAAACTGTGCAATAATAGAAAATGACTGTAAGATGTAAATTCCCCAATGTTCTGAAATCTGTTGAGTGACATGATTAGAAAATATCTGTAAGACATGTCCTGAGTTTTACGTGGGGTTTGTGAAAGGGGCATAATTCATCATTCCACAGGTTAGGCACAACAGTGTATATATGCCATGAGTAATAATCCTGCATTTGGGCACAGTTACTGTTTTGAGTAACAATTCAATAACTGAAATGGAGGAATAGAATGGAATTAAAATTCACAAAGTTATTTTAAACTTTATTAACAAAAAAAAGGTGTCATTCTTTCAACATATTCCAATAAATAATACAATGAGGCACATCTGTACACAATTCTGATTCCATTTGTTCTATTTATAGCTCTCCAAACCACACTATAAGCAGTGGAGGTGATCAGGTCGTGGAAAACCACTAACTTACGTATAATACGCAAACTCGGCCAATTATACGCCAATAGGGGTATGAATTTGTTACTAAAAATCGCCAAAATCACTTTAATCTCAACTTGACCAAGTCACATTTATTCAGTCATGAAACATAATACAAATGCAAAAATAAACTTTATTTGCATGTGGGAAAGTACCAAAAATAGATGCAATACTTCCGGTAAAGTTACATCATGTTTCTAAGTAGCCAACGCTTTCAGTAAACATCTTTTAGCAAAATATTACTCACCTTGTCGTAAATTAATGCGATTTTTAATATTATTTTGCAAAAGTTACTGTTAAAGCGATTTGGGGTATTTTTTAGTAACAAATCCATGCTACAACTGGCGTATATTAGGCAAGTTTGCGTATTATTCACAACTCGGTGGTTTTCCCCAACCTGGTGATACAAATTGTCATTATTACAAAAAGGTAGACTTCTAAATCAATCATTTTTTGTGCACAATATGTAGCCAGAGTTTCCTCTGGCCCTGACACCAGACTCTGACATTTTGACAGATAGATGTCTGGTGTGGGGCCAGAGCGCACTGCTTTATGAAAACATGGAATTCTCTGACACTGATTCGTGTCGGAGAGTTTTGAGGTGCTGACAACAAAATCGACTATGACACAAAGCATGCCTCACATATATCGATAAATGGATTATTTATTTATCCAAATCCACTCTTATTATCACCAACAGCTGCTAAATTCCGACAGTGGGGTCCCCGGTTTACTATCGTCATAATTTCTCACCTGCGAGGACATCATTTTTGTAAGTCAGGGTAATCAACAAAAAGAGGCAGTCAGGAAATTTTCTAAAAAAGAATTATGTTTCCTTTTCGGTCCAGATCAGTACGGCTTGTTGATTAGTCTCTACCCTGACTTACAAAAATGGTTCGAAATCCTCCTTTTATTATTTATTTGGTTTTGTTGAAAGAAAGACACACTTCCCTTTTTTACTTTTTTAAAAACATCTTTGTGTTGTGTTGTTCTTTCACTTAATCACCCATTTCAGTAATTAAACTGTAACTCAAACCGGTAATTTTACCCGTGTGCAGGATTGTTATCAACATATGCGCCCAGCCTGTACCTAACGTTACCTCTGCTCTGGACATCCACTAAAAATGATTTTCACTTATACTTCTTAAAATCATATTTGAATCATACATTATTTGTTATTCTGTTTGAAGGATATTATTTCTCAAGTCTAAAACAAGTCGTGCATGCATTGTGACACGAGTATGCATTAAAAGATAATGTACACCCCCCCCCCCCCCCCCCCTTGTAATGCGAATCATATGGTCATGATATATACGTGTTTTGTGAGCTTCTAGTTGTGTTTGATTACTTCGTTAATGAAAACGATATGTGTTACACATCGAAGACTGTTAAAGCGTCATGTTGGTGTGTTACCTGCTCAGGAATAGGCAAATCTATGAACACCGGTGTGCTCATGCTGTCTCCAATATGGCGGACATAAATGAAAAAGGAAGAGGTAATAAATAGTACTTCCGGTAGTAGACCGGTTCTTTTTCATGTTTCAGAGAAATATTTAGGTGATATACAATCTGCAGGGTGATATCTTTATACGGAGTCGATGTCTATCCCCTTATGAAATTATTTCCGTGTTTAAATGATATCTAAATAAACAATAATATAAACTCTATACATTGTAGCATTAGACGCGAGTATAAACACGTGGAAAATATGGTATTGGCGGGAAAGCTCAAACTTCGATATCATAGGAAAGATAAAAGTAACACTGAATCACACAGCAGTTTCATCATTATATTACTCATCGGTGATGCTCAGGGCCAAAATTTTGGGAATCCAAATCGTCTAAATTGATTTACAAACCGATGGAGCGTTTCACCAGAGACTTGACATATAAAGCGGCCAGAGTGGTTAGTGACCGTTAGTACTGATTCACCACGGACTTAGATATCTAATCTAATTCCGTGATATTATCAAATATTAGAAAATGGATTTGAAATTATTACTTTCTTTTGTCTTTTAGAGATATAATTATTCAACCAACCCAATCCCCCCACCCCCCGATCTACCGTATGATTTAAATGACGCACACAGATGAATGTACCTTTAAATTTAGTAATAGATACACAATGCCAAAAAATAATGACACTGCGTCATACAGTTGTTTCGTCATTCCCAGTGACCAACGGCACTGGCCTTAGTGAGGATTTACCTTCTTTCAAGTCCTCACTTGAAGGTTACCACCAGTCTCTCTACTAATTTTGCATCCTCGTTATGTACATATAGTTTTAATATAATACCTAAAAATTACAAAAAAATATATTCTGTGAAGTGCAACATCCCAGGGTCAATTGCACTCCAACCTTGGAGTTCTGATCCTTGTAATGGAAGAAGAAGAAGATTCCAAATAGGTCTAAACTACTGTTGAACCAACAGTGGAGGTGCAAAAAAACACCTTAATTAATGAATTTCAAATATTTAGAATAATGGTTAATTGCAAATTAGTTAGTAAAGTGTGTATTTTATGAACCGTGCCGCTACTCAAAAGAAGTTACTGTGGCTATCAAGGTTACAGCAAACCTCGGGCACTAAACATATCACCAACAGTCTTCCGGTAACCTTGTACAGTGATAGGTGAGCGTGTCACAAACACAGGTACTGCATCTTTGGAATTTAGTAATCGATACAGTATGCCAAACATAATTGTAAACCTGGCTATTAATACATGCGTTTAAAGATAAAGGCTCAACACAATGCTTATTTCACGTTATTTATATTGATTTATAACAAAGTATACGCTTATATGTAATACAAGATCGTGCAATCTATACGAAACAGTTTTGAACGGATTTAATTTTTCATCACTACTACCTGCGTTCGGTAATTCGGTAGCATTCAGAATGAGTTCTGAGAAAGTATCCGGTCTCGGGCGATAATCCGCATGTCAAGCAAAACATAAATACCATGGCTACGTGTGAGCAGCGTCCAACATTACGGGCACCTGCTCGACATTCACAGTACCAGCCGGTTATATTGCGCTGTGAAAATTCTAGGTTGTGTTGCTTTGATGAAATGTGGCGGGAATTAAGACGAGCATGAACAAGGTCGGGTTCCTCACGATTGACATAGATGACATTTCAAGCAAATGTGGCTGTCCTCGCTGATAAGTTTCCCGCATTTTCGGTAAAATATTTCCGATAACAACAGTTCATTTTTCTTGCTTGGCCTTTTTTTTTTTTTTATTCCGACGCAACAAATCCCATGGGCATATTTGGTATTTCGGCATTATTTTTTGGTGTTTGAGCACTCGATATAATTAGTTTGCCAGTTGGAGGGTCAAACAGTTCATAAATTTCATCAAAGCTGTACTCTATACGTTAGTCCGAATTATTCTGACGTTTTATCGACTTTTTTCATATCGGGCTGTCGTCGATTAACGACGTTAATCGACGACAGACCGATATGAAAAAAGTTGATAAAACGTCAGAATAATTCGGACTATGTACACGTGTGCAGGGATTTGTTGACATGCTTTGATAGAAGTATATCGCACTAAATAGTAACGAAATTATTACTAACAAAACTGATAAATCAATAGGTATGTTATAAAAATGTAAACAAAATTTTCCATCGATTTGAAAAACAAGATATTGCTTCATTAAGGAAAATGATCACATGCCTAAATATTTAAAAAAAAAAAAAAAAAAAAAAAAAAAAATGAGAGAAGATTCGAACCTGTACCGTTTATTTTTAAGACACAAGTAAACTGCGTTACACATTCGGCTACATAGAACATATGGATATTGGCAATTACAAACTGATTTAAACCGAGAAATACATGACGCAGTTTAGAGAAACTTCATCAACCCTGTTTTTCATTATTTCAGCACTTTCCCAAAGGAGGACCACTTTTCCGTAATACGATTTGTTTTTGCATATTACATCACGGTCACAAAAAGTTTATTTAAAAGTTGGTCCTCGGATGGGAAAGTGTTGAAAGTATTTCTTTAAGTTCGGGAAACCCCACCACTTTCATAGATATAGTGTATATGGCTATATTTGCAGTATCATATTAGCAATACCTAATTTCTCAGCAGTTTAAAAATTCATATTCAATTGGTTCTATATCTTTTGTATGCATTTTTGATACACGAAATGTTTTATTTTCATAAATGCCGACTTAGGGAAATACGGGCAGTTTTCCGCCATACCTCTTTCAATTAATTGATAAACTGTGAAAACTTTTGGCATAGTCGTCGTACGCATGGAATACTACGAGAAAGTGTTTTTCTCCTGCCCACACAACTCCAACAACCCAGGTGGAGTATAAAATGGTCTAGGGTGGTTGTTGCGGTATCTGTGCTGTGGCATTCAAGTTGGGTGGCACTATAAATGATACCGTTGGAAGTACGGTCCCACTACAAACAGAACACAATACATCTCCAGCACACACGCAGGCTTACACGCATAGGGAGATATTAGCCAGGTGGTATAGGACTGGTAGTTAGCGCCTGATAAGGCAGCTCCTGTGAATTCCTCAAAATCATATTGATTAATGTATATGCTAATTGTATTCATTGTACATCTATGTACTGTAAAGCGCTTTAGAGTGGCTTATGTTAGCTAGATAGGGCGCTATATCAAATGTTGTATATTTATAAAACCGGACTGGTACTTGTACAACAGCTAGGTTGTGTTCCATAAAATATAAGTATTAACCTGTCTAAATATAACCTTTCCAAATAATTTCCTACTGTCGATAGTAATAATTTCGGTCTATAATTAGAGGGAGAATTCTTCTTATTTTTTTATCAGTGGTGTTTCTGCGGCCATTTTGCATAAAGTTGAATATACACCGGATGATACAAATGTAGAGAAAAACTGATTATTACTTCGAGCGGTTTAGATACCGTTGACTTATTACGTCTTGTCCAGAGACTTTACATAGTTTCAAAATTTGAAGGATATCTATGATTTCGGATGATTTTACTTTAATTTAATTAAATGTTTTATCAGTTTGATCCTAAATAACGGGTGTCTCTATGTTTGTACCATATAAATCAGTAAAAGACAATTGACCGTGTAAAATGTTTGCTCTATCGACATTATCTGTAGCTAAATCAACATTGTGCGAGTTTGGATGTAGAAGAGTAAGATTTTGTTTGGAGGTGTCAGACGTTTTCATGAGTTGTTGGGTCAGTCGTCTCCATTTTGATTTTGGATAAGAAGTAAAATACTGATCAATAATTATAACAACATTTATATTTCCAAAGAAAAAGTACACGTGCATGCTTTTCATATTATTTACTTCGTTACGTCAGGCTTCAAACTTATTGCTATCCGCCTGCGGTTTCGAATTACTAGCTTTTTATGTTACCTATGATCACGACCCCGTATATGTTTCCTTTCATTATCTCCACGGTATACCATTTGGCCTAATTATACTTCCTCTGCGGGTAGACATTCTTGTGCAAAACCTAAATATATCACTGTGAAGTGTTCACAAGCATCATCAACTAACCTACGTCTTTCCAGTGTATTGTCGAAATCGTAATATGATATTTAAAGTTGATTGAATCTGTCGAAATCTACATGTATATGAGTTTAGTATCGAACGAGATTTCGATTAAAACAAGACTATCTTGACCACTAAAAGTTCTATCAACAGATAACACAGACGATTAAAAGAATTGAACTGATTCCGGAGAGAAAGATAGGATCAAGTAAACATGTTGCTATTATATAAGATAAGGGATGTCTCGACGGTATAATGACCATGTCTACATTTAGGTCTCCGTTTATATGAGGTGAAATCTCCATAGCTTTTTCAATTGATGATTTTAAATGGTCCCAGAACGGATGATTAGATTTCCCGGTCTAGAAATTGTTCTTATAATTACTTTATAATTTGATAAGTCTACCATAGACCAGATAACTTCACCCATGGAAATACTAGATCATGAAAGCGTTCAATCTTTAAACACGAACCCCACCCCCAGCAAAAGTTTCTATCTAAGCGACAAGGATTGTGAAAACCTTCTTAGCATAACATTTACTAGAGTTTTAGTACCCTGCTCGTCTAATTTGGCATCAGGAATACATACCATCATACTCTCCTGCAATATCTCATACATTTTCTAACTTATTTCGTATGCTTCTTAAATTAAAAAAAAAAGTAAAAAAAAAAGTTAAAAAAAAAAAAGATTCATGATTTTAAAGGTTTTTTTAATTATCACTCTCAGATATACAAAGTACGTTACAAGAGGTCATGTATGTATAGTATTAATTGTAAATGACGAACAAATAATTTATCTATATTTACATTTTTTCTAGCTTTCTAAGACTTACTTATGTTTGAGATATTTGATAGCACTTGTACAATGGAGCACATTATTCGCTAAAAGGGACATCACGGTATATTTTTTTATGATTTGTTATTCAAATACTGCATGAATATATCAAGTGAGTGACAGTCTCCTAATGGAAAATGACTGTCGGATTGCACTGATTCATATTCATAA